GGTTTTCAAGTGGCAGTCTATGGAGCCATGGAATAAAAAAATTAAAAAAGGTAAATTTGATTTTATATTTCAAAATTCTGACTTTATTCTCGCAATTACGAGATTATATCTCACAATTCTAATAAGGAAAAACAACTTGTCATTCTCTCTTTTCCCCTCGGCTCTTCTGGCTTTTTTCCCTCAGAATTGACAAACTCACTATTTTTGAGTTAAGTCGAGTTAGTAAAGTCCGAATTAGGAGATATAAACTTGCATTTACGAGAAAAAAAAAGTCAGAATTGTGAGATAAAATAAAGAAATGTTATGTAAAAATGTTAATAGTAAGGTTTAAATCATATTTCATGCTGTAACTGTAGGGCTAATACAATACGTCCCCTATGAACAGCATATGTGAATATTATGTAGACCTATTGTTTAAATCAAATTTATGCTTTAAAAGTAGAGTAATCATAGCAGTTTTCATCCATAGTATGTCCATTTAAACGTCTGCGTTTAGCTTCAAATTACGACAGTATTCTATAAATATTATCTGCATTCCGATCTTGACATTTGACATCAAAAAAATATATTTTTCTTTTATTCCATGTACACATAAGAGGTGGAAAGATGCCTGGCATCCGGCATCCGAATGAAAGGATTTCTCTAGAACTCTGTCATGGAAATTATGTATAAACCCTAGTTCAACAATGTAATAATCAGTTTACAATGAATTTATACCTGTGTTGTATTACGCTGTATTTCACCGTGGACGAGCGCTTTGTAAAATTAATGGACAGAGATTGTCTTACTTTTGGGAGATGAGAGGAATACGAGAAAGCGTAACGGTCAACTTGGCTCATGTGTGCCTTAATAACCAATCACATTACAGCCTTGACATCACTGACTTTCACTCAGAGTTGTGCAACACTCAATCGCCATTTACGGATACCATAGGAATGAATGAGAAGTGCCATAAGCTGAATTCCACGTCGCAAAAACTGACTTCTCTTATAAAACCGTATTTTTTTTGGTGTAAACGCTAAAAATAGTTAAATCCAAAAGTATTGTTAAGTTTAAAACATTGTACACTGATTGGCTTCATCACTCTGTCTCCTCTCCACCAATAAGCTAGTGTGTGGGGGGCGTTCTGGCGCAATATGGCTGCCGTCGCATCATCCAGGTGGATGCTGCACACTGGTGGTGGTTGAGGAGATTCCCCGCTTTCATGTTAAGCGCTTTGAGTAGCCAGAAAAGCGCTATATAAATGTAACTAATTGTTATTACTAATTATTATTATTAAGTGTAAAACATGTTGAAGATTAGCCGATAGGCTGTTGATTCATTAAAGGTCACATATTTTACATCTTTCTGGAGTTTTATTTTAGGTTTTGATGTCCTTAAGAATATATATTTGCGGTATAAGTACCAAAAACCATCTCAATATATTTTTACAGCTCCTCTCTGAGGAGCTCTGCTGAGAACAGGTCGATTTTGGCCTGTCTAATTAATATTCATGAGCCTCTCTTCTGATTGGCCTGTTGTTTTCTGAGTGACGCACGGCCAGGCCAACCACAGCTAACTAGGGTCAGCCAACGTCACAGCGCTAGCTGGAGGCAGCAAAACAAAGGGGAAACTGGAGGTGGTCCATTCAAACCAGCGCAGATTCGGCTACATAAGGAGCTTAAAATATCATCTTGTTGTGATGTTGGGTGCCAGAATCGACGTCATACAGCCTCAAATTAGAAATTTGATCGCATATCTGC